CTGTCCCCCCCCCCCCCCCCCCCACCAGGAACTGTGATAAAAGTTTTCAGAAAGTAGTCATTGTTGCAGACGTCATGTCGAAAACACATTTAGCGTTTTGGAAGTTACGCTGTACAGATTTGGCTAGCAAACAGCTTTGTTTTAAATCGAATTTCATTGTCGTTTAACAGAGACGCGTACAGAACAGAGAATTATCTCTTGTAAAAGAGACGAAGGATCCTGTCCTTTGCGTGTCTACGTCTCGTTCCGACAGCCGAACTACACACGTAATTCTCAGCACAAAAAGAGAAACGAGAATATTCTAAGAAAAATAATGGATTGAATGTTTTTACGTGGGGAGTGCGATGTGATCTGTTGTTTGTTTCGCGTTGTTCTGTGATCGGTTCCCTGAACGAAATAGTTTGTGGTTTCGCTGTAGAATCCTGAGGACGTTACACAAGAACAACTGAGAGTTTTGTCAGGGAACTCTTTCATCATCCTTTTATATTATTATAATAATTGTTTTATTCTACAAGACGACGAACATGTGAACGAACCTGAAACGATGGACTTGCCAAGAAGTGTTTGACACAGAACAAAAGAGAACTGTGATCCGATAAACCAACGAGAAGAATTAAAAGTGAAGATTATTGTTACGAAATTCAATATTTAATAATAGCCTGTTCATGTCTCGGGTATTATAGAGTTAAAATAGGGTTATATAGTGGCTAATTAATACGAAAATCAATTAATAATTATAAAATAATTGTTGTGAAAGTTTATAATATTTATTAGACGTAAAAGTTTTTTTTTTTCAAAACACAGTTTTTTACTCTGTTAATAGTCTCACTAAATTAGATACTGGGCTTTGTTGGTGGTTAGCGGTAATTCTGTGTGTGCTGTGTTGTTTGCCGTGTGGATGAAGCCCGTTGTTCGCCATTGCAGATGAAGTGGTGGCCGAGTTCCCGTTGATAGAAGTGTCGAGAGACAGTTTCTCCCGGTGGTCACATCGGCTTCGATTTCGAGGTCGTAGGAGCCGTGAAACATGGACATCCAAGCAATGCAATCCATGGACTGGCTTTTTAAGAAGGAAAGGATCTACTTATTGGCTCAATTCTGGCAGCAGGTAAGCCTTCGTTAATAAGGTTGATAATCCCGTGTCTTGACTCTTCAAAGTAAGCAATTTTTAGCCATTAGCGTATTTTGTGATGTCCTTTATTAAAATCGTGTTTCCTTCCACGCCGATTTGTGTTTATCGTCGTAATAACAGAGAGTATACGACTTTCAATTGTTAAGCAGTTATTTTACGTTCTTCAAGACGTCGTTTCGCCTTGAATTTCAAAGTTTCGGAGAAAAGTTTTACGTCGCTACGTCGTGTTAATTCAAATGGTAACGGTCTCTCAGTAAAAATTTTGCGATGTTTTAGAACAATGGAACTGAAATGGTAGTGGACTGAAGAATGTTTTCCTTGCATGCAGATTTCTATCAGTGATTAACTGTGTTTTTTTTTAAATGATGACTCATGCAAACGCTGGTAATTTCCGTTATTGATTGGTGGTGATGCTTAATACAATCCTCGCACAAAGGAGTTCGTCCATTGCCTCTCCCTCCGCGTCCGTCGTGTGTCGCAGAATGTTCTGGAATAGAAAAGGTTCTTAGGAGTCCCCTCGCTTGTCAATGTTTTCGTAAAACTTTATTATACCTCGATACTGCATATTTAATTTCATTAACTACTAGATTTTTGTGTGAGTCTAATTCGTGAAATGTAACACGCCATTACAGAATTCGTTTTCGACGTACGATGAGCGTGCGAGTAATTTTTATGGGTGATACAGGGAACTTGTAGAAATAATTTGATTATGCCTGAAAGTTTATAAGTTCGTGATGAAATAGTAAATTCATTACGTTTCATTGTTGGAAACTGTTCAGTTTTAAAAATGTCACTGTCTCGTCGATTTACCTAAAACGCTGAACGTCAGGATGTAGACAACAATGGATTTGTCATTTGTTTTCGCGGATTCTAAACATGGTTTCTTACTTTGAGGAAACGTAAATTATAAGTGTTTGAAAACAATTCTGAGGAAAATGTTACAGTGAACAATTGAGAATGCTATATGACAATGGGTTACGTGCTTTGATAATTCCGATGCAATTACCAGAAAGTTTGTTTTGTTTGTTTGTCAGTTATATGATTAGTATTTATGTCTCGTAATTTCACGTATTAAGAGCGGAATGGAGAAATGATTTTCATAGGAACACGAATCGTGATTTATAGTAGAACGTTTTCTAAGGCTTTAGTGTTGCAATAAATTATGCAGTATGAATAACAAATAAATTATTTCGGAACTGTACCTCGCTTGTTTTGGTATTGAGAAGATGGCTGTGCAAATGAATGTTTATTGTTTTGTGCATTCGTAGCAAGAAAGTCGAACAGCCGCGTAACATTTGTTGTACGTTTAGAATTCTGCGTAGTTACAAGTATCGATAACATTTCGTAAGTGTAATCAAGTTGCGACTGTTACGTCGATGTGAAACAATTCGACCCATCGATTTCGCAACCAGAGTTTATGCTAGAGACTTTACGTAAAGAATATTGATATAGTTCTGAAGACATTCTTGTCGTTGGCGTTTCGAAAAGAAAACAATAATGAGAGATTGAATGTTTAAAATTTAATCGTTGTTACTGTTTCATCTCAAATATTTGAAAAATGAGAGATTGAATGTTTAAAATTTAAGCGTTGTTATTGTTTCATCTCAAATATTTGATCTGTTTTATCGCATTTTACATAACCAAAGTACGTATTCTTACCTTTACGGAATCAGAATTTATTTTTGAAAGTACGAATTGTTAACATGTTTGCTTGAACTCCTTTGACAAGCGTCGTGACCCATTGAAGTCCTCTGCACATAGCAACATACAGAAACTCAGGCATATTTCCGTGTCCCGAGCTGGTTTCGAACCCACGATTCTTGCTAACAAGTTATCAAATGTCTGAAGAATTTTGAACAGCTCGAGGAAAGCAAGGGTTGACGTCGGATTTAGTTACGTAAAACAGAATCGTGTGAAAGTGAAATTTAATTTTAAAAATTGTAAAAAAAAAAAATATTATTTAAATGCTGTGTTTGAAAAGAAGAAGAAGAGATTTTTGTATCATTTATGAAATATATTAACATTTGAATTAGATGAAATCCAAAATTTATACCAAGAAGACAGTTCATTCCGTAAAACGCAGTGTTAATGCATCCATTTTTGAAACCATCTTCAGGATCGATTGTAATAGACGCGTACTTTTAATGATACAATTAAAATATTTTAACAGTGATTTCTCCACGTTACGTTACAGGGCGTACCATGAATTTGATTTTCTTCAGTAAATTACTAAGCTTCTTAAATATTAACGGGAATTAGTAGTATTTTAAAAATTTTGACGTTGCGAAAATTTCGCTTATTTACTATTTAATTGTCAGGGATTTATAAATTGGGTTAAGTTTCTCATGACGAAACTACGCCAGGGGTCTTGTGGGAGTGTTATTTTGACGTCAGTTGTCAGTAAGCTTTCTTGATCGAAAGCTGAGTAGACTTTTATACGTTTACGAAATACAGAAGGTTTGTCGTTTCGTAATGTCGGAAATTACCACTCGCAATGCTTGTCCGTTCCTCCTTGTTGCGAACTTCGTTTCGTTTTTGTTTTTGTTTTAAACTTAACTGATACGCGGGTCGACGTAATATACAAAGTGATCAATACCGCGTGCCCTAATCACTGTTTTTTTTTACGTAATGTTACAAATGCATAGATACTTAAATACAAGATTATTTAAACTTAATAATGATATGATATTTGTATTTAAACGAAAATTACGAACATTGTGTAAGAAATCCGATGACTACATGTCGTGTCGAGGACAACACTGCCATTATTTTATAAATTTGACCTGAAAAATTGAAAACAATTACCATCATTTATGTTCCCACTGTTTTCAAGCTAATTATCATGCATTACGGGTTCAATTAGAAAATTACTTTTCTATTTTTCTTACTATAATAATGCGACTAGTTTCTTGGTGTAATATAATATTTTGTAATGTTAGCTAAACACGCTGTAGTTAGACATACTATATTTTTTTTTTCCCAGTTATCTCTACGAAATTCAGTTAATTATTAAGCAGTCTGAATTCTCAGGTTGACTTGTTATCTGTGTGAACACATTTTTTTTTAAATTAAAAATAAATTCTTTGCGTTTCCTGTTTTTCAAAATTCATTGTACTTTAAATTAATTAATTTTTTAAGATATATTTCGTAATTAGTAATTAATATCGTAAGGAAACGTAAAGAATATGGGATATTTAGGACATTTTACGTAATTTTTTTAGTTCATTGTACAGCCGCTCGCGTTGTGAACCACGGAACCGACAATCGACATTTGCCACAGCTGCAGCCAAGTGTCTGCGGGAAATATATATATTTTTACTTGTTTCCTTTGTTACATTAAGCCTGTACGTTATAGGTCATTAGACTTCTATTAGGGAATACTGTTTTTTCTACATGTCATCCAACACCATTGTCTGTTATTACAAAAATTAAGCTGGCAATCAAGACGAAACCTTCAACTTCACCAACAAGATTCCTTCGATGTCATAGAAGTAAATCAAAAACTTGTTTGAAACATTATTTATTTCCAGGTGTCTTTCAGAATGAAATTATTACGTGTTTTTACAAGAAATGTAGAACAGAATACTGTCCATTGTTAACAATGGCAGGTTGTCATCTAGAATTCGAAAAAAATAAGTTTTTGACACGTTCAGAGGCCATGGCGAATGTAGTCGATATTTTTAACTAACAATCGAAACTCGTTGGTTGTAAACCAGTACGTGAAATTGTAATTTATAGAAATAATATTAATATATTACACTAAAAACGCTGTAAATTAAAAATGTTACGTTTAAACTTAAAACATTTACGTTCAGGACATGTCGTTACTAAAATTTATCGTTTGTTTGCATCGGTACGTATCTGAATACAGAATTAAGAATACGCTGTGAATATTTCTTTAAAATAGGCCACTGTGCCTTTACAAATGAAGTCAGATTATTACCTTATCCGCGGTGTACTGCAATAGGACGGGATGTTTCAGCTGGTTTATAATTTATTTTTAGATTGAGACATATTGTTAGAATATGGCGTTGTTTTAAGAGAATATACAGTCGATTCCCTGTTATGACGTGCATCGAGGTTACCGTCGAACTCTTTGCATTTACTATAAAGTTAGCGATGATATATTTAAATAAGTCTGTGTATTAATACGGAACTGTTGCGAGGCGTGGGACAAACACGAGAGAAGAATATTGCATGATTCTGTGCCAGCAACTTTTAAAAATACACAATTCTTAATTTAGGCCTATCTTCAATCCATAATATCGTAATTGAAAGCGCATTGGACGAACCATTTATAGGAGTACAGTCTATTAATTCATTAATAAATTATTTACCCTGTGTATTTGTTGTTGCAAAAAAAAATGTTTGTATCAATTTGCTTATCAGTAGATCCGTAGTCATTAAAATGAGAATCTTAGTATAAGCTATGCAGTTATTAATAATTCACAAATTGTTAATCATTTTCCTGAGACTAAAAATGAAATGGAATGCAAATGATAAGACTTAAGTACTTGGTATTAGGTTTAGTTTCGTAATCAGTGTCACGTATAAACCACATCAAATTTATTAGACAGAAATATGAAAAGCAACAAAGTAGGACGGCAGATGGCAGAATTGTCACTGAAACTACCATTTTTGTCTTTACATGGAACAAGATTTGTTAAAACTTGTTTAATTCTGATACTTACGTATCAGAACGCGATGTCTAATTCCTCTTACGAATTCCTTTGTTTTAATTAGATTTATACACTTCGTAAACATTAAGTTCGGAATTTTCTACTAGTTTCGTCTGGTTTTCTTGTGACATTTCGTACGACAGAAGTTTTTCTAAGTTCTACCCCGTTTGGACAGAGTAAGTGAAAACAATTGCACATTAAAAATAAATGTAATGCTATTTGTTTCCCACAAATTATCGGTAGGTGGCAGTTCAATCAAGTTGTATTTTTCATTTGTTTTATGTATATAGGCCCGTA